TTTTAGAGGGACGTTTCCACAGTATACTGCATGAAAATCGACTGTGCCCCTGCAGTGATAAACTGAAACATTAGACCATGTCTTTTTCATATGTAGTTTTTACAGGGATGATTTATGGGATGGAGAGAGAGAGATGGTCACAATCCCATCCTAGGGGACAGGAAGCACGAGGGATCTCCTCCATGTGTGTGTGAATGTGTGCAGGGAATCATCCTGGGGTGGTGGTGGTTGTTTCTTTTCCTCCTGTGCATAGAGACCTCCCTTTTCCGTTTTTGCTTTCCTTCCTACATTTGGAAGGGTTTCCAAAGGGAAGGAGAGGCAACGACTCTCTGGGTAACCCCTCCTAGGCCTTCCTTCGCCTACACCTGGCTGTGGGGCATTTTGGATTCCCTTTGGGGGGGGATCCAGGAGGAGGAGGAGTAGATGCCCCACCCATCTGTAGGAGGAGCCTTGGGGTAGGTGGGGCATCTCTCTCTCTTTTGCTCCACCTTCGCTTCTCCTGCCCACCCACCCCATGTCCTCCTCGCCATAGGTGTGGGTGGGTGTGTCAGGGTTGGTCTGGTACTTTCTTATGAGGATCTCCTGCCCCAGCACAGTGCCAAAGCTTTACCGAGAAAAGGTAAGACTCTTTTCTCCTTCCCACTTCCAGTGGCCTTTGAGGAGCTGACCCGGTATTGACCCCTAATAGAGCTTGGGATCTTCTGGATCGAGGCTTGAGATCTCTGCACGAGGACCTCCTGCTGGAGATTTCTGGCAACAACGTCTCTCCAGGTAACTCTTTTTTTAAAACAAATGTCTTGAACATCTACAATGCAATAGTAATTCTCATTACTTACTCCCTCCTTCCACCCCACTCTGTCCCAATGCAGACGTGGGATATAAGAGCTTTGAGACATGTTATTAAAATGTTCATATTTCAACATGGCTCACAATACCCCCCCTCAAATGTAAGACCCTCAGAGGCTGATTTTAGCTTAGCTACTCATCAGTATCTATGAAAGATTCTCCCTCCTCAATAAATAACATTAACGAGGTGGGTGTGTAGATTTAATTCCTTTGGCTGCCTGAAACTTCTTTGTTAATTTTTTCCTGTACTGCTATCTTCCCTCTTTCACTGTGTCGCAGAATGAGGAAATCACTAGAGAATGGTTTTTTGCAAGCGCTATAGCACTTCGCAAACAGGTTTTCCCTATGGGCGATTTTTGCTGGACGATCTTTCGTTCCACACATCGCTAGATGACGATTTTGACAGCTTGGTCCGTGCTTCACAAAATGGGTGTTTTCGGGACCGATGCCTCGCTGACGATTTTAACAGCTGATCGGCGCTTCTAAAACCAGTTTCCTTATGGCCGATCTCCGCAAAACAAAGACAATTTTTCCCCATTGGAAGGCATTAAATGGATTTCAATGCATTCCAGTGGGGAACCGCGCTTCGCTGAATGATGTTTTCACAAGACAGCAATTTTGACAGAACGGATTAACATCATTTAGCGAGGCACCACTGTAATGGGTTATTGTTTGTTGTTTACTCGTTAAGTCATGTCCAACTCTTCGTGACCCCATGGACCAGAGAATGCCAGGCCCTCCCGTCTTTCACTGCCTCCTGGAGTTTGGTCAGGTTCATGTTGGTGGCTTCAGCGACACTGTCCAACCATCTTGTTTTTTGTCATCGCCTCCCCCCTTGCCTTCACACTTTCCCAACATCAGGGTCTTTTACAGGGAGTCTTCTCTTATGAGATGGCCAAAGTATTGGAGCCTCAGTTTCAGGAACTTGCGTGGCTGCTGTCACCATCTGCAGTGGTCATGGAGCCCAAGAAAGTAAAATCTGTCACTGCCTCCATATCTTCCCCTTCTATTTGCCAGGAGGTGACGGGACTAATGGCCATGATCTTAGTTTTTTGGATATATAGCTTCAGACCATTTTTTGCACTCTCCTCTTTCACCCTGATTAAGAGGTTCTTTAATTCCTCCTCACTTTATGCCATCAGTGGTATCATCTGCATATCGGTAGTTGTTGATATTTCTTCTTTCTAACTGTTGCTTCCTGTCCCATGTATAGATTTTGCAGGAGATAGATAAGGTGGTGAGGCACTCCCATTTCTTTAAGATCCTGCCATAGTTTGCTGTGGTGCACACAGTCAAAGGTTTTTGCATAGTCAATGAAGCAGATGTAGATGTTTTTCTGTAGCTTTCTCCATAATCCAGAGCATGTTAGCAATTTGGTCTCTAGTTCCTCTACCCCTTCGAAATACGGCTTGCACTTCTGGGAGTTCTCGGTCCACATACTGCTTGAAGCCTACATTTGATCGATTTTGAGCATGACCTTGCTAGTGTGTGGAATGAGTGCAATTGTACGGTAGTTGGAGCATTCTTTGGCACTGCCCTTCTTTGGGATTGGGATGTAGACTGATCTTTTCCAATCCTCTGGTCAATGCTCAGTTTTTCAACCTTGCTGGCCTATTGAGAGTAGAAACTTTTTTGTTTTTAATATTTTTTATTTTCTATAACTATAACCTTCTTCATGGATTGCTGCCTTGTCGTGGCGAAGGGGCTTGAGTAACTCAGAGAAACTATGGGCTATGCCGTGCAGGGACACCCAAGACGGACAGGACATAGTGGAGAGTTCCGACTAAACGCAATCCACCTGGAGTAGGAAATGGCAAGCCACTCCAGTATCTTTGCCAAGAACGCCCCATGATCAGAAACAAAAGGCTAAAAGATATGACGCTGGAAGATGGGCCCCTCAGGTCGGAAGGCGTCCAACATGCTACTGAGGAAGAGCGGAGGACAAGTACAAGTAGCTCCAGAGCTAATGAAGTGGTTGGGCCAAAGCCGAAAGGACGCTCAGCTGTGGACGTGCCTAGAAGTGAAA